CTTAAAGCCACCACCTCTCTCAGTACACGCTAACGTCTAGCTGGGAGGAGTGCTGGCTACGAAAGCACGGAACATTCTGAAGACTGATGTTGGGCGACCCCAGACATCGGGTAGTATGGGGGGGGGCGAGGCAGGTGCAGCCAGACCGGCGACCAATCGGCGGAGTCGTAGCGATCAACGGGTAGTTTGGTGGTTGGAGTTCGAACAGGTGGCTGGTTGCATACGTTTCTGCTCACCCTGGCAAGCCTTGCTGGTGTTTGTTGTCGTTGTTGGACATTTCTTCCATAGTCTTTTATATAGTTGTGAAGACGTAATTTTGGAGGGAAGAGCAGGCTCAATCTCTTGAAGGAGATTATCGTCACAAGTGAAATACTGCGTCAACGAGACCTTCTAAGTGTCATTACGAGAGATTTCTCCCCCCACACACTACCTCCCTCCCTTCCGTCTCTCCCTTCCGTCTCTCCCTCCTCTCTCTCCCTACTCTCTCTCCCTCCTCCTTTCTCTCCCTCTCATTCTCCCTCGCTACATAGTTCCCCGCTTCCTTCTCACAAATAATTGTCCCAGCCTTAAATCCTCCTCTTCTAGATCTTCAGTCATATACAGTCATGAATACAACCATCAAAATTCCACTTTACCGATAATAAACTCATTAGGATTCAGATTAATGATTAAATTATCTATCCGTCTTTGGTGACCGCGTGCATATCTATCAGCCAGGCCAGACTCATCGTGCAGGGGGGTATCTGGGCCGCACATGAGGGGGTCCCAGAGCCTCTAGACTGCTGGAGACAGCGGAGTACAACAGCAAAGTCAACTTATGTCCCCTTTTCGAGCTGGTTACCGCCACATGAGCGCCGGGGTCATCCCTCATCACTGATACTTCGTATCTTAGCACCCTGGTCATGCTCTGGCTCGTGGGGTCGCGGCTCTGGCTCGCGGGGTCGCGGCTCTGGCTCGCGGGGTCACGCTCTGGCTCGCGGGGTCACGCTCGGGCTCGCGGGGTCAAGGCTCTGGCTCGTAGGGTCACGCTCGTCCCAACTTTGCCTCATAATAACTCGTCCTCATCTTGACTAAAGCGACGTATACTTAAATCAAGGGGCAGAAATTGTCGTACAAGAAAATGGTAGCGGCTCACGAAGTTTTTGATACAATGACTAGTTGCCTGTTCGTAGGTCCTCTGATAGGTTAGGATAAGGGCACGTAAATATGGCATTTTCTTGATGCTAGTTTATTGTGCACCCCATACTCATCCTGTGAGCGGTAGCGCAAAAAGGATTACAGAGTAGATCTCATTAATTGTAGGACGTTTGGAGTTGCTTTGGCCGGGAGTCTGTGACTAAGATGATGTCTGAAGGAAGTGTCCATGTTGTGACTATTCACAACCGGACCAGGGGCCAGATGGATTCAAATCCATCGCGGGGGGGGGGGATGTTTGGGGGGGAGGGGATGTTTGGGGGGGGGATGTTTGGGGGGGGTGGCAGAGGAGGGGAGACTAACATCTGATATCCTGATATCCTACAGATTGTGTCACATCTGCATAGTCACTATTTGTTCCGTATGTGCTAACATCACAAGAGTTCTGCTTGCCTTGTTAGGGAAAAATATAGCGTACGATTTTAATGAAAATATATATATATATATATATATTTTTAATTATATTAATAATAATGTTGTGCATCAATTCATTTTTGTCTAAAGTCATATGGGGGTATTCTAGGCCCAGGACTTCTTGGGACACTTCCTCAGTTTGGTGCCGATATTAATTACCTGTTGAATTATCTCCCTCCAAGCCATTAAAGCCATTAAGGGGTAATTATCAAAAGTGCCGAATTATGAAGAGAGGCGAGAATTATTTGAATATCAGTGAATAGTGGGGGTCTCACTGTTCCCCTGCCCCTGGTGCCGCTGTAATTATAAAAGGTGTTATAATTTTAAGAGTAGTGAGAAATAATGGGGCGTTATAATAGTGGGCAGCAATGGTGGCGGTAATATTATTATTATTTTTTGCATGGATATTCCTGCGCGGGCCCTAAGCCTCTGGCTGGCCCACTGGGCGGGCCCTAAGCCTCTGGCTGGACCACTGGGCGGGCCCTAAGCCTCTGGCTGGACCACTGGGCGGGCCCTAAGCCTCTGGCTGGACCACTGGGCGGGCCCTAAGCCTCTGGCTGGACCACTGGGCGGGCCCTAAGCCTCTGGCTGGACCTGGGCGGGCCCTAAGCCTCTGGCTGGACCACTGGGCGGGCCCTAAGCCTCTGGCTGGACCACTGGGCGGGCCCTAAGCCTCTGGCTGGACCACTGGGCGGGCCCTAAGCCTCTGGCTGGACCACTGGGCGGGCCCTAACCCTCTGGCTGGACCACTGGGCGGGCCCTAAGCCTCTGGCTGGCCCACTGGGCGGGCCCTAAGCCTCTGACTGGCCCACTAAGTGTTGCTTGTTTCTGTTTTACTTGGGCGGAGTATGAGTATTTATGACTCGTATGGTCGCTTCAGTAAGATTTTGTCCCATGTGTTTATTAACTTCTTCTGCTCTGTTCAATCTAAAGTTGAAATCTTAATGGGTTTGTAACTGTGCACTGTGTTAGATAATGTTCCAGTGGTCTGTTGTGGCTGTAACTGTGCACTGTGTTAGATAATGTTCCAGTGGTCTGTTGTGGCTGTAACTGTGCACTGTGTTAGATAATGTTCCAGTGGTCTGTTGTAGCTGTAACTGTGCACTGTGTTAGATAATGTTCCAGTGGTCTGTTGTGGCTGTAACTGTGCACTGTGTTAGATAATGTTCCAGTGGTCTGTTGTAGCTGTAACTGTGCACTGTGTTAGATAATGTTCCAGTGGTCTGTCAGTCATTTCTCCGCGGGGTTATCTTGAGATGATTTCGGGGCTTTAGTGTCCCCGCGGCCCGGTCCTCGACCAGGCCTCCACCCCCAGGAAGCAGCCCGTGACAGCTGACTAACACCCAGGTACCTATTTTACTGCTAGGTAACAGGGGCATAGGGTGAAAGAAACTCTGCCCATTGTTTCTCGCCGGCGCCTGGGATCGAACCCAGGACCACAGGATCACAAGTCCAGCGTGCTGTCCGCTCGGCCGACCGGCTCCCCTCCACCACCGGGGTGGTGGCGGGTGGGTGGTGGTAGTAGTGGTAGTGGTGGTGGTGGTGGAAGGCTACTAGTCTCACCCAAGGGTTGGTGACAAACGCGGGCTCGTTGTGGCCAAAACTGTCATTATCCACGCAATGTTACTCCTGATGGCTCTCACACATATCCGGCTCCATCGCTGCCTGCTCCCTCTCAAGTTTTCACCATATATCCCCTTTCTCTTTTTAAGAGAATTCTCACTCCGCTACTTCAGTATTATTCCCTTATTACACTTTATTCCTTTTTGTTTTAACCCAGCAAGAGACTATGTATGTTGCTGTCATTCTTTCCCCTAACTGCCTCTCCTCCCTCCCCACTTGGGTGACTGTACATAAAGAAACAGTGGTGTGACTGGAGTCAATATATACCACTCTGATTTGTAACTAAACACTATAAATTTCGTTTGATATGGACTAAATACTGAGAAGCTCACGTTTCCCAGGCAATATTTCTGTATCATGGTAGTAGGAAGGTGAATATGAAATGTTGTAATTATGCGTGTCACACAATGGAGCTCCGTCGTCAACTTGCCCGTTGATTCCTACTAAATCCTTGACAGGTTCTAATAACAGCAACGTGATATTGTTGAGCAACTCACTCTCACTCTCTCTCTCTCACTGTCGCACTCTCTCTCTCTCTCTCTCACTGTCGCGCACTCTCTCTCACACTCACTGTCTCTCTCACTGTCTCTCTCTCTCACTGTCTCACTCTCTCTTACTGACTCTCTGACTCACCATCTCACTCTTCCACCCACCCACTCTCTCTCTCTCTCTCTCTCTCTCTCTCTCTCTCTCTCTCTCTCTCTCTCTCTCTCTCTCTCTCTCTCTCTCTCTCTCTCTCTCTCTCTCTCTCTCTCTCTCTCTCTCTCTCTCACTCTAACTAGAGATGTATCGCGCAGTTCCCGTGTAGCCACTCTGTTATTACCTGTTTCTGTGTCCTGTGTCTGGTAAAGATCAATGCGTAATTATGACGCATTGCGCGCCATTTTCGTACGCACGTATTGGTCCGGATATTAATTTTGGCGACAAACTGCTCCGACTGTGGTAGAGGTGACGACGGAGGCACGTATAACAACCTTCCCAACCTTATTACAACCTACTATAACACCCCTTACCCCCAACAACCCCCCTCCCCTCCCCTCCCTCCTCACAACACGGGTTATTCATGCCCGTGCCACATCTTTAAGTGATATAATCTTCCATCAATCAATCCCCTCCCATCGGGAAAGATTAATTTTCGGCCACAGAAACATTGGTTGAGATTGCGAGGTGGGACCAAAGAGCCGAAGCTCAACCCACCGCAAAAGCACAACTAGGTGAGCGCTTGCTGACATCTCTGCGCTGACAACTGACATCGCTGACAACTGACATCGCTGACAACTGACATCGCTGACAACTGACATCGCTGACAACTGACAGGGTGCTGGGCTGTCACCAGCCGCGACCCCTCCCCTGAATATATTACAGTTCCAGAGACATGTGATGAAATATTGGTATATGTATTTTATCAATATGCTTCCCGTCTCTGATGTAATGGTTTATATTGACCTGTCTTTTGTAATATTAATTATTATTTGACTATTGTTGTGATTTGACTATTATATATATATATATATATATATATATATATATATATATATATATATATATATATATATATATATATATATATATATATATATATATATACGATTAAGAATCAGAGTTGAGCTGGAACTCTCCCCCGGAAACACAATTATACAAGTACACCTTTAAAACGTCCGCCGATTCATAGAAAACGATCAGTAACAACAATCCTCCCCCCCCCCCATATATTCCTCAAACTACAAACTACCGTTATAAACAGGTCGCCTCTCCTCCCCTCCTTCCAGACGGGTCCGGAAGCCACCTCAACCTCTTCAGTAACAAGCAGCCGCCCAAGAAGAAGCGGAAGAGCCGTACGGCCTTCACCAACCACCAGATCTTCGAGCTGGAGAAGCGGTTCCTCTATCAGAAGTACCTCTCGCCCGCTGACAGAGACGAAGTCGCTCAGACGCTGGGACTCAGCAACGCCCAGGTGAGGGGATTGAAAGTAGAAAGTAGAGGCAGTGGGGGAAATGGGGAAGATTGAGGCAGTGGGGGAAGCAGAGGTTCTCGGCAATATGAGGAAGGGACGAAGCTAACATCAAGTTCTCACTCAGATCTCCCGTGTCATCTATTGATACTGGTAATGGCTCCAAGGGGCCTCCACATACGGGTTATTCATGCCCGTGCCACCTCTTGGGTGGCTTAATCTTTATCAATCAATCATCAAGTTCTGGACACGATATAAGACGTTCCCGTCATTCTGCTCTTTTTTTTTTCACGAGAGAGACCTCCCGTCACGCAGGGTGCAGTCGCACCTCCACAGATCTCCAGTATCAGCTCTTGATACTGGTAATGGCTCAAAAGGGCCACCACTTACGGGCTATTCATGCCCGTGCCACCTCTTGGGTGGCTTAATCTTTATCAATCAATCAACCATTTGGTCCACGGGAGACATCTCCCGTCACGCAGGGTGCAGTCGCACCTCCACAGATCTCCAGTATCAGCTCTTGATACTGGTAATGGCTCAAAAGGGCCACCACTTACGGGCTATTCATGCCCGTGCCACCTCTTGGGTGGCTTAATCTTCATCAATCAATCAATCTTCTGCTCTTTGCTTCCACTTCCCTTTACCCACCAGACGGTTGCAGGTGACTGATTGAACACTGACATGAGGCGCTTCAAGTCCTAAGGTTCTATTCGCGAGAAGAAAAATGGTTGGGCACCTTTCTTTTCACCTAATGTGTATGTTCACCCAGCAGTGACTAGGTACCTGGGAGTTAAGTAACTATTGTGGTTGGTTACATCCTAGGGGAGGGTCGTATGTACACAAAAGTTCCTGGTCAGAGGAGGCCTCGTCAGAAACCGGCCAGCAGGGACATTGATCCCCGGAATCTTCAACAGGTAGGTAGGTTCCTGTCCTACAACAGTAGGCTAGGCCGGTGGTCCTAGCGGAGATGATTTCGGGGCTTACGGTCCCGGCGGCCCGGTCCTCGACCAGGCCTCCTTTTTGTTACACGCCCCCAGGAAGCAGCCCGTAGCAGTTGTCTAACTCCCAGGTACCTATTTACTGCTAGGTGAACAGAAGCATCAGGGTGAAAGAAGCTCTACCCATTTGTTTCCGCCTCCACCGAGGATCGAACCCGAAACCTCAGGACTACGAATGCCGAGCGCTGTCCACTCAGCTGTTAGGCCCCATGTTAAAATAAATGACACCCAGGTTCATGGAGTGCGCAAAATTATATTATATACGTATGTGTGTGTGTGTATTATATATATATATATATATATATATATATATATATATATATATATATATATATATATATATATATATATATATATATATATATATATATATACAATCTTTGGACAACACCCACCAGTGGGACTCGAACCCAGAAAGCACAACTACCTTCCAGTAGCTGGCATAACTAGTATGCTTTAACCCACTACCTTCCAGTAGCTGGCATACTAGTTATGCCAGCTACTGGAAGGTAGTTGTGCTTTCTGGGTTCGAGTCCCACTGGTGGGTGTTGTCCAAAGATTGTTTATCTTCACTTGTGGTTTATGCAAGTATAGGCTTATATATATATATATATATAGTGCACAAAGAGGTCACTATGCATGGGAGTGTCCAGAGCATAGATTCGAATCCTTCACATAACTCCTGCTTTTTTCCTCACTATATATTGTCTAACTTGTTATCTATGTCATTCTTAAGTTAAATACAATCAATGTTCCCTCCAGACGACGATACTCATATGGCTACAGCTTATTTTAAATGCAACAAATTTATAGATACTCCCAAAAATATGCACAAATAGGAAAAAATATAGAGGCGATGCAATGGGATTGAACTCGCGTCTCTGGACTGCCTTCGCACTATCTACTACTCTATTATGATGAGCTCATCCCATGGGCAAATACTAATAGTCATATAGACAAAAAATTTAAACAATTAAGTCGCTTGTTTAAGGTCCATTGAATTACCAAAGCTACCCCTTATATCTATATCTACCTTATATCTACCCTTATATCTATCTAAAGCGTAGAATAGTTGACTTCATTCTTGGCTCGGTCAGATGGTCCCAGGTTCGATTCCCGGCCGGGACAGTAACAGTTGGGCACTTTCTCCATCATCTAATGCCTTTGTTCACCTATCAGTAAATAGGCAACTGTTGTGGGGTTGCATCCTGGGGAGGGTCAGTGGGGGGGGGAACCTCGAGACCAACCTGAAGTATATACACACGCTTCCTGTCCCCGGCAAAACTATGTAAATTAACTAAATAAAATACTACTGTGATGCAAATAAATGTAGAGCTTAAAACACACACACACATACATTGGGGGCCTGATAGCTGAATGGACAGCGCTCTAGACTATGTTGGGGTCCGGGTTCGATCCCCGGTGATGGCAGATGGCGGGCCGAAAGAGCAGAGCTCAACCCCCAAAAGCCCAACTAGGTGAATACACCCACACACCAATCCTGTATGTATATTATATATATATATATATATATATGCGAACAAGCCTGAATGGTCTATATATATATATATATATATATATATATATATATATATATATATATATATATATATATATATATATAAAACTTTCTTTAATGTTAGTAACGACCTATTATCCCTTGATTTCGTAATAAAATGAGTAGCGGGTCGTTACAACCATTAATAAGCTTAGCTTGACAAGAACGGTCTAATAAGAAGGTGTATATTTGCATTCGACTACTGAGGTCGGCGCCGCGAATGTCAGGTGTGGAAAGGCCTTGACACACGAGGCCCTTTACACCAGCCACCTCAGCCCACACCAATGACAACCCCGCATGACAGCCCGACGATGCTTAAACCCGCGTGTCAGCGCCCCTGACAGCCCGACGGTGCCTAAACCCGCGTGACAGCTCGGCGGTGCTTAAACCCGCGTGTCAGCGCCGCGTGACAGCCCGGTGGTGCTTAAACCCGCGTGTCAGCGCCCCTGACAGCCCGACGGTGCCTAAACCCGCGTGACAGCTCGGCGGTGCTTAAACCCGCGTGTCAGCGCCCCTGACAGCCCGACGGTGCCTAAACCCGCGTGACAGCTCGGCGGTGCTTAAACCCGCGTGTCAGCGCCGCGTGACAGCTCGGCGGTGCTTAAACCCGCGTGTCAGCGCCGCGTGACAGCTCGGTGGTGCTTAAACCCGCGTGTCAGCGCCGCGTGACAGCCCGGTGGTGCTTAAACCCGCGTGTCAGCGCCGCGTGACAGCCCGGTGGTGCTTAAACCCGCGTGTCAGCGCCGCGTGACAGCTCGGCGGTGCTTAAACCCGCGTGTCAGCGCCGCGTGACAGCCCGGTGGTGCTTAAACCCGCGTGTCAGCGCCGCGTGACAGCTCGGCGGTGCTTAAACCCGCGTGTCAGCGCCGCGTGACAGCTCGGCGGTGCTTAAACCCGCGTGTCAGCGCCGCGTGACAGCTCGGTGGTGCTTAAACCCGCGTGTCAGCGCCGCGTGACAGCTCGGTGGTGCTTAAACCCGCGTGTCAGCGCCGCGTGACAGCCCGGTGGTGCTTAAACCCGCGTGTCAGCGCCGCGTGACAGCCCGGTGGTGCTTAAACCCGCGTGTCAGCGCCGCGTGACAGCCCGGTGGTGCTTAAACCCGCGTGTCAGCGCCGCGTGACAGCCCGGTGGTGCTTAAACCCGCGTGTCAGCGCCGCGTGACAGCCCGGTGGTGCTTAAACCCGCGTGTCAGCGCCGCGTGACAGCCCGGTGGTGCTTAAACCCGCGTGTCAGCGCCGCGTGACAGCCCGGTGGTGCTTAAACCCGCGTGTCAGCGCCGCGTGACAGCCCGGTGGTGCTTAAACCCGCGTGTCAGCGCCGCGTGACAGCCCGGTGGTGCTTAAACCCGCGTGTCAGCGCCGCATGACAGCCCGGTGGTGCTTAAACCCGCGTGTCAGCGCCGCGTGACAGCCCGGTGGTGCTTAAACCCGCGTGTCAGCGCCGCGTGACAGCCCGGTGGTGCTTAAACCCGCGTGTCAGCGCCGCGTGACAGCCCGGTGGTGCTTAAACCCGCGTGTCAGCGCCGCGTGACTGCCCGGTGGTGCTTAAACCCGCGTGTCAGCGCCGCGTGACAGCCCGGTGGTGCTTAAACCCGCGTGTCAGCGCCGCGTGACAGCCCGGTGGTGCTTAAACCCGCGTGTCAGCGCCGCGTGACAGCCCGGTGGTGCTTAAACCCGCGTGTCAGCGCCGCGTGACAGCCCGGTGGTGCTTAAACCCGCGTGTCAGCGCCGCGTGACAGCTCGGCGGTGCTTAAACCCGCGTGTCAGCGCCGCGTGACAGCCCGGTGGTGCTTAAACCCGCGTGTCAGCGCCGCGTGACAGCCCGGTGGTGCTTAAACCCGCGTGTCAGCGCCGCGTGACAGCCCGGTGGTGCTTAAACCCGCGTGTCAGCGCCGCGTGACAGCCCGGTGGTGCTTAAACCCGCGTGTCAGCGCCGCGTGACAGCCCGGTGGTGCTTAAACCCGCGTGTCAGCGCCGCGTGACAGCTCGGTGGTGCTTAAACCCGCGTGTCAGCGCCGCGTGACAGCCCGGTGGTGCTTAAACCCGCGTGTCAGCGCCGCGTGACAGCCCGGTGGTGCTTAAACCCGCGTGTCAGCGCCGCGTGACAGCCCGGTGGTGCTTAAACCCGCGTGTCAGCGCCGCGTGACAGCCCGGTGGTGCTTAAACCCGCGTGTCAGCGCCGCGTGACAGCTCGGTGGTGCTTAAACCCGCGTGTCAGCGGTCATTGTTGACGCGACAAGCACGCCACACCAGCCATTTGTTGAATTATTTTTCTTCTTTATTTGCACATTTCTTTATTCCTTTTCCGTCTCCATATCTATTTCTCCCTTTTTGTGAGATGTTGAACGTAGGCATCGCATGGGTGTAGACCAGAGGAGAGGGGAGGGAGAGCATTGGAGGGGTTTCTGTGGGTAATGGAGGAAGGGGGGGGTAAGGCAGGCAGGCAGGCAGGCAGGCATGCAGGCAGGCAGGCAGGCAGGCAGGCAGGCAGGCAGGACAGACAGACAGGACAGACAGGCAGGCAGGACAGACAGACAGGCAGGACAGACAGACAGGCAGGACAGACAGACAGGCAGACTGGCAGGCAGACTGGCAGGCAAACAGACAGATAGGCAAGCACTCGTACACACATTCCCCCCCAGTATCCCCTCCCTCACGCCACAATACTAACATCCCTCCTCCCTCCACAGGTGATCACGTGGTTCCAGAACCGGCGGGCGAAGCTGAAGCGGGACATGGAGGAGCTGAAGAAGGACGTGACCTCTCACAAGATCCTCAGTGACCACTCCACCTTCATCAAGACCATGACGCAGATGGGCCTCCTCAAGCACAAGCCAGGGGAGCCCTTTGATCTCAAGAAACTTACAGGCTGACGGTAGAGACGTTGGCTGTGGTCAAGCCGTCACCAGAATGTCGTGACGGATCACCGATCACAGTGAAAATGATGCTACTGAATGTGATGTGTTATAAAGGAATACCTGTGATGATGATAGTGGTTGTGATGATAATGAAGTTGGCAACAATGACAAACGTTTCAGTGCCACCATTAAGGCTCTTCCTTTGTCTGGGACTCTTCGAGGAGGAGGAGGAGGAGGATTAAGAGGGAGTTATATCTCAAAATCTCAAAATAATCTTAAAACTTCTTATTTGTTTTCGAGAAAACCTGGAGCATTTAGGCTCCATTACGACACAGCCGGTACCCAACTATAAAGGTGTTCCGAGTTCGAAGTTCACACATACAACGACCAAAAAGTTAAGAAATACACCGAGAGCATAAAGATTAGCTTATATCGCTCGCTGACCATATAATACCCATCAAACTGTCGCTCCACAACACTGCCTCGTCACTAAGAATGCGAGATCATGTGATGCTAGGTGAGCCTGGCGATGCTAGGTGAGCCTAGCACTGCTAGGTGAGCCTGGCACTGATAGGTGAGCCTGGCACTGCTAGGTGAGCCTGGCACTGCTAGGTGAGCCTGGCACTGCTAGGTGAGCCTGGCACTGCTAGGTGAGCCTAGCACTGCTAGGTGAGCCTGGCACTGCTAGGTGAGCCTGGCACTGCTAGGTGAGCCTGGCACTGCTAGGTGAGCCTAGCACTGCTAGGTGAGCCTGGCACTGATAGGTGAGCCTAGCACTGCTAGGTGCTAGTTAAACTCAAGGTTATAAGTTTTACATTTACCCTTGGGTTCACCTGCGCGACCTTGTTTTCTTTTTCTGCTGTATTTTTGTGTTGTCCCTAAGTATGTGATTCTGTGTATATCATCTCTTTAGTGATTCTCTCTCTCCATTAGTCTGTGAATCTTTGCCCGTTATTCCGTTAATGTTGTCCAGACCACACACTAGAAAGTGAAGGGACGACGACGTTTCGGTCCGTCCTGGACCATTCCCAAGTCACAATCGACTTGAGAATGGTCCAGGACGGACCGAAACGTCGTCGTCCCTTCACTTTCTAGTGTGTGGTTTGGTCAACATACTTCAGCCACGTTATTGTGACTCCTCCTGCATTTATTCAGATCATGAAGCAGCCTACCAACTATAACCTTTGACCTTAATCTTGCTGACCTCCAACAGTGTTATTTTATAATTAGTAAAAACATTTTCTTTTTTTAACTGGTGGGTACAGGAACTGACGCCCGCTGACTCCTATTAGCATGCCGAGAGCTTGCCCACCCCATAGCTCATGGTAAGCCTTGCTCTACTAGTTTTCCCTAGGCCCGCCAATCGTTTAACCCGGGTCAGGATTCAATAAGCATTAACACATTTACTTTCGAAACTTTACATCTTTGATGACCAGACCACACACTAGAAGGTGAAGGGACGACGACGTTTCGGTCCGTCCTGGACCATTCTCAAGTCGATTGTGAGAACGGTCCAGGACGGACCGAAACGTCGTCGTCCCATCACCTTCTAGTGTGTGGTCTGGTCAACATACTTTAGCCACGTTATTGTGACTCATCGCCTTTACATCTTTTTTTCAGTCTTCAGCGACTTTCTCAACATTTATTAAATAGTTTACGAATATCGAAATTTCCCAATCAAATATCATTCTTATAATGACGAAGCTCCGAAGCCTCCTGGTGCTTCTGAGCTCATAAACTGCTTAACATATGTAAACAAACCCGCCTAAGATTTAGAAAAGATGTACAGTACTTGTGAGTGCTTGTGTAACTTCTTGGTGAATCCCAGGTCCGCGACCCAATCACTGCTGGGTGAATAAAGGCGTACAGTTAAGGATTGACGCCTTGTCAATCCTCCCTGGCCAGAATACGAACCAGAGCCAAATTCACCACTATGTACTGGTACTTTTCAGTGTTGCTAGTCAAATATGAACTAATATTTGTTTCTGTAAAGAGGCCTAAGAATCACCTGGCTAGCCTAACATATGGTCCAGGCATTAGTCACATAACTTAGCTGATGACTGCCGACTTCATGTTGGGAAATAATGATAAATATGAAATTATTTTCTCATGGAAAATACAGATTTTGTACGACGCTTTCACCTGATCTTTCCGTTTAATTGTGTGTGTACAATGAATAATTTGTTCCTAAGAACTTACTGAATTGCTGTAAGAGGAAAGTAACACGTTCTGAAAAATTAAGAAAAAAATTATATATACAAGGGAATTTACCCTAGAAAGCAATTTGTTACGTTTTCTTTGGTATGTTTTAAAATTAGAGAACGATAAAAGGATAAACTTTTAGTTTTTAGTCACCATAACGTTGCGTTAGAGGGTTGAAAAGGAGTCCCCCCCCCCATCTTTCCTCAGAGCCAACCGATAAAGAATAACAATTTTCAAACAACAAAATAATACACTGAGAATACTGGGATATAAAGTACAAATTCCAATTTGCTAAACTTCCCGATCAACCAAAAGTATTTAGTATGTTTAATTTTGTATATATGCTCATGAAGGTATAATGAAGTGTGTAAATTACGATATAATGAAAAAAATTTAGCTGCTATACAAATACAAATATAAGTGACACCACACTTGTCGCTGCTTATGATTATATCATCCATATAATCATCCTTATGATATCATCCATAGGCTTCGAGCAGGAAGCCTGATCAAGGACCGGGCCGCGGGGACGCTAAGCCCAGAAGTCATCTCAAGATAACCTCCACTACTAAAATAAAAAAGGGGGGAACATGGTAGAAAAACAGCAAATACACAATTTGGTCGACAAAGAGCATTGTTTAAAAATAGCAAGACATGGGTTGACATTATAGGGGTAAGGTGGGTTACAGGGAGTTAATTAGGTAGTGTTTAGTTTTATCTTAAACTGGTTGGGAGAGGTACAGCCTTTAACATGGTTGGGAAGGTCATTCCACATTCTGGGCCCCTTGATTTGTAGAGCATTTCTAGTTTGATTAAGTCGTACTCTAGGAATATCAAAAAGGTATTTGTTTCTGGTGTGGTGCTCATGGGTTCTGTTACAACCTTCATAAAGCTTTTACGATCAGGATTGACATTACAGTTCAGCATTTTATATATATATATATATATATATATATATATATATATATATATATATATATATATATATATATATATATATATATATATATATATATATATATATATATATATATATAACACACATGAGAGGATGTGCAGTGACTTAATATCTAACATATTCAGAGATTTGAGTAGGGGTACTGAGTGATGTGTGGGGCCAGAGTTGGATATTGTCCTAACAGCAGCTTTGTGTTCAGTAATTAGAGGACGTAAATGATGTTGGGTAGTAGAACCCCAAGCACAAATACCATAGTTGAGATAAGGAAAGATGAGGGAGTAATAGAGCGTCACCAGGGCAGGGCGAGGTACATAATATCTGATCTTATAAAGAATGCCAACAGTTTTTGAAACTTTTTTTGATATATTTAATGTGTCCCTGGAAATTCAGCTTGTGCTCAATGAGAACGTAAAGGAATTTGCCATCTACTTTGTTACAAATTTGGGTATTGTTTATCCGAGATTTATTTGATTTGAGGATTTATTGCCAAACAAAATATAGAAAGTTTTGTCAATGTTGAGGGTGAGTTTGTTGGCAGTTAGCCAAAGATGGACTTTATTTAGCTCAGTATTTACTGTGGCATTTAGAGCAAGGGGTCAGGACTGGAGTAAATGAAGGTTGTGTCGTCAACAAACAGAATTGGTTTGAGGTGTTGAGAGGCATTTGGAAGGTCATTAATGTAGATGAGAAAGAGGAGAGGGTCAAGTATGCTGGCCTGAGGAACACCAATGTTAATGGGTAGGGTGGGAGAAATTGAATTATTCACAGAAACATACTGGAGCCTGTCAGTAAGGTAAGATTTGAGGTATTGCAGGGAGTGTCCTCTGACTCCATAATGATGTAATTTAAGAAGACGGTTTTGGTGGTTGACAGTGTCAAAAGCCTTATGCAGGTCCACAAATAACCCAACAGGGAACTCATTTTTATCAAGAGCTGCATGAATCAAGTTAATCATATTAATAAGTGCATCGTTAGTGCTTTTTTGGGTCTGAAGCCATATTGACAAGAGCTAAGTATATTATGTTTGGCTAGTTAAAAGTAAAGCTGCTTGTAGATTAGTTTTTCAAATATTTTTGACAAGTCTGGCACGATTGATATAGGTCTGCAGTTGTTAACATCTGTGAGATCACCACATTTGTGGACAGGGGTTACTCTCGCTTTTTTTTAGAATATCTGGAAAGGTTTGGAGTTCAAGTTACTTGTTGAAGAGCAATGCAATAGCAGGAGCTAAAGATCTGGAGGCTTTTTTAATAAATTACAGTTGGTATCTCCTCAAGGGCACTAGACTTGGTTTTAAGGGAAAGGATTATGTCAGTAACATCAGTGGAATTTGCAGGCGTTAGGTACAGAGACTGGATAGTTACCTGTTAGTCCTGAACATCAGTACTGGAAGATGGAATATCTTTTGCAAGGGCGGACCCAATGGAAGAGAAGAACCTATTGAACTCAATAGCAGTATCAGAGGCTGTAAGCTGACCATCGTAATTAGACAGGAGTATTGGTTTGTTACTTAAAATCTTCTTTGATCCCAATATTTGTGAATTTCTTATTTGTTCTTATTTTTTTATTTGTGAATATTTATGAATCTTCTTTGATCCCAATATTACTTGTAACATTAATTAAACATTAATACCCTGTGAACAAATCCGGTCGATTAAGGCAGCGTCTGGGATGCTCTAGGACGTAGGTTCGAATCCTCGTCACGGCCCTTGTGGATTTGTTCCTTTGATGCATCACGCAATTGTGATTTGTGTGTGTAATTAATACCCTGTCTTAGAGGCCCCAGAGCCGTAGGGGAACGAGTAAGGTAACACGTCATCAGCCGAGAAGAGAACCATTGAGCACTTCTCAACTTTGACAGCCAAACAAAACCGCACTGTTGCCAGAGACAACTGACAGAGGCAGATGTAACTGTATAAACATCTGCTCAGTTCATGTTTTCAGTTGGTCACGTGTTTAGGAGCTCACAGGCGCAGTCTGCATACATTCTTATAACCCTGAGTTGCGGCATCTACAGGAGGAGACTTTTAGTTTTTTCAAGACATTCCTGTTCTACTTTTGCTATACTTAAAATGAAGAAAACTTTAATGTTATTTTCACTCATTT